CACAATCGGATATAAAACATTTTATAACCCATATTCAGGACTATCGTACACATGTATATTTTAAAGATATTAACATTTCAACACATCTTTTTTCTTATATTTTCCGACAAAAACAAAAATCCATCTCCTCGCACAGGACCTCAAGATTTATTAGTAACACACTATGATTGTGAAGAAAATGAACAAAAAACACTACAAAAATATGCAATAAATCAAGTAACACAATGCGAAACAGAACCACAAGCTATAGAAACCACAAACGTAATAGCAACACTATATTCAAAAGCCCGAGCAACTACAGTAATAGGTTATAAACTTACAGCAACATTTTCCGAGAAGAAAGTACATTGCTCACAAATTTCTAACGGAAATAAAACCAGACTTGATCACGAATCATTTTACCAAAGCAATATAGAAAGAATTTTACATCTCAACCCCGATGATTGTAAAACCGAGTTACACAGGTTAAATCTCACAAAAAAACAAACACTCAGAAAGAAAAATAGTAAATTTCCAAGTCTTCAGCGATTCAGTACATCAAGCAGAACTTGAACGCTATCAAGGACATATAAAATTAGACAAAAAATACCCATACAAGGGATCTACAATGCATGCGCTATACACACACAAGTCAACCGTCAAGCCAGTGTAGCACGCATATTATTTGCAGAATTTTTTGGAATATTCTCCTCATCCATCAACAAAATAGTTTTAGACGCACAAATCAAAGAATCTAACACGAAACTAGCCACAAGACCAAATACATACGACGAAGAACACAATAATGTAGACACGGTACCTACAGCACCACAAGTACCAGCCCTACCACATAATCATCCCTTATCTTTAGTTCCCAGAAATTTCCGAAATTTAGAGATCACAAATAACCCAAATTTTCGACCAAATTCAGTACACAGCCCTATTCAATATATAACAACAAATCACTCACAAAATGATAATACATATGAACATATTATCGAACAACCCCACACCACCACTTTTCAATCTCAAAATAATCATTTTTTTAGCCCACGATGAGCCGACAAGTTGGATCCCTCCGCCGCTCAAATTCCCACCCAGCAAATCTCAAAAACCCAATCCCAATTATACCAATTTTTGCTTTCCCCCACCTGATTTTGCAATAATTAATATACCATCTAGCACGAGTTCAGACACTAACTCAGATATTTCAGTTTTTCATAGTATTTCACAATTTAATAACTCAGACCTTGAAACTCCCGACAATTTTGCCAACTCTGAACCCTCTCCTTCTACCTATTCCCAAACCAACCCTTCACATTTTTCACAACCCCCTTTTCAACCCATCAATGCCAGTCAACCACTGCCATCCCTTTCCACTCCCTCTCATGCATCCCAAGTCACCCCAACATATACCCCCATTCCCTTTCTGACAGATCAACCAATAATTCCCCAGATATTCCACAAATTTCCCCTGAATTAGATAATTATATTACCCTTCAACAACAAATTATCCATCCCCATACTCTTACCATACATCACCTATCATCAATAACAACACCATCCGGCCCACCAACACCTACACCGCTATCAGATTATACTCCATCATTAACCCAATCATCCACTTCAACAGAAACATCCACTAGCACTAACCGAGCTTATCGCACTTTTAAACGAAAGTTTCCAAATCACCCATTCACAACCAAACCAGGCACAGCTAAAGAATATATTGATCATCCACAACATAAAAATACTAAAACCTTTCTCCAAACAAACTTACCATTATTTCCTCAGTACACCTTGAATACACCTACTACTAATGACGACACCAGAAATTTTGTTGACGAACACGTCTTAATGCCAACACTACATTGGACATCATATTATCACTACACTAACCCTCTTTACCTACCACTTTATAACACCATAATGGATAATGAACAATGACTAACAACAGCACTAACACCACGACAATTCACATATGTTGGATTTAAAAAACTACTAAAAATATTCTCCGCACCCCGCGCTAATGAATTCACTATCAAATATTATGATCACAACATCATACGCCCTAACCAAGACCGATTTTTAGACGACGACCGCTTTGTTAACCCACAACTCACAGAAAAATTTTTCATCACAACACCATATTTTCCCACGATATTATGATACGCACTAAACAGACACATACTTACACATATTATCGTTTTATACAAAATCACTTTGATTTACATACACCCTCACGACAACCCCACCATCGTTTTCAATTCATCAACTCAAAGTACACATCACCATTTTTTCTTAATTTCACTTATTGTATCAAGAATACTAACCTCCACGGCATCCTCCGTAACTACGACCCCGTCCACCAAATGTATATATTTTGCCCCATCACGAAGACTTTCCAGGACGAAGAATCCAGACCCTTCCTCATCCCGCATGAATTCCTACAACCCATTGAAATTCCCATTCTAGAATTCATCCATAACACTAAATATAATCATAAAATTTACAATCTAATCCAGAACACACCTCATGAAATCACAGTAGGCACCAAAGAACTAAACATCATCAAAGCACTTCAATTGCTTTGGCCACTGCTAGAAACTAAAAACATCATTCGCATATTAGCTAAATTATTAACATCATCTGACCTAATCCAAGACCTCTTCCCACATGGCTTCTTCCCCGAAAATTAAAGTAAGTATATTTCAATTATATTCCCTAATAAATATATATTTAAATAACCATTCTTTATAATGTTACACTTCATTTTTCTAGTTTTCTCACCACCATCATCTACAAAACGAAAAAAGACAAACAAAGATATAAATTATAATCATTTACAACTTATTTGCTAAAAACAATTTCAAAATACTAAATTTTTGCACTATATAATGTCATAAAATTCATTCAAACGCAATAAATTATTTTATAAATTCTTCCCCCAAAAGCAGTAAAATTACATAAAATGAAAATTTATAATTTCAAATTTCTCCAAAATGTAGTAAAAATTCAGATTCAAGCAGTAAATTTAAAAGTTGAGAAAGCAGTACTAACCTTTTCATTCATTCGCACAAGACTTCTATCCATACTCGCACAGCTTGCCCACGAAGAACTGTTTAAAAGAATGATTTTATGTTCCAAGCTTTCAATTACAACAACTCTCACTAACGATAACAAGTTTCCAACTTTTCTTTAACCCGGTTGGAATGGAACTATACACTATACTAAACTAACCAATGCAAATGACTAAACACCACAATTCATAAAATAACAGCATGGGTAAGAAAAGAACACCAACGGTACCCAAACCAGATTAACCCAGCTTAAAACTGGATAATTTATTCTTTTGAAGACTATTATAAAGTCAACGAAAGAAATAATAAAACACAAAAAAGTCGAAAGACAAACCCAAACCAAAAACAATTTGATTTTTGAAAAAAGGACACAACCAGAAGCAACATAAGAAAGTCCAGAAAAAATTTCCATATAATGTTAACACAAAACAGGACCCCTCAAAGAAACCGCACGAAATCATACTCCCACTCCTGGCCTAACCCACCAGAGAGGACGTCCTGAGCATGCTCTATAGCCGGCTTAACCCACCGCGCTACATCCACGCTTTGTGACCACACTTTAATTTTAATACGAGGTACTCAAGGGTGAGTAACTCTTCAAAATAACCAAACTAAAATAAAAACGCTTTTGTGAAAACAATTAATCAAGATCATAACTAAAAAAGAATTAACTAAAATCTATAAAATGTAAATCATAATAAGCAGTATATAGATCACACACAACAGCAAAGACGAACTTCCAAAGACTAGAAGACTAGATGATCCCATCACAACCTGAACAAAGAATGGCTACCAACCACAACCGACATGCCGCACACAATCACAACTCAAAGGATTTAGAGTACGACTTGACTTCGCAGCAAAGGACTTCATTGAACCAGACCAATGACCACCTCGATGTTCAAGTATACGTACAGATCCCAGTAACAAGGCATCCCTTCCAAACACGAGTTTCACGCCATTCCTAGACGAGGTTGATCACAAACAACTTTCCACAAATGCAAACAAAACTTACATAGCAAAGCATTTTGGATTCTGAAATCTAAACGATTTCATTATGGATCACATTCGTTGACAAACGACAAGAAGATAACTTCCTATCCCTAATTCCAGCGTTCTGGAACTTTTCTCTTATAGAGAAATTATGTCGACGGTTCTAGTCTCCTGGACCTCTCTTCTCCAGGGAACAAGAAAACGAAAATGATGTTCGCCACATACCAACGTTCATCATCCATCCTTCAATTGCAGAAGAAAAGAGAGAGAACTCAAAAACTCTGTAAACCCCGGATGGGTGGAACCTGATCTAAACTACATTTTATTATTTATGATTTAGACATTTTACCACTGTAAAGTATTTAATATTAACCAATCACAATCCATCTAACTAACTACCCACTTATTTGTAAGTGCTGAAATTACTTGTAATTTCAGCACCAGAGAGATTTGAATTTAACTTAGAAAATAGTTGCCTCTCCCGAGTACTTCAACAGCCGCAAAAATACCAGTATACTCTAGATCTATTGAGCCTAGCAGAGACTAGTTAAACACCCTGAGACTAGTAGTTATAAGAGTAAGATTAGGATCGGTATTAGACTAAGAAGTTGCACGAATCTATCCGACTGAAAATAAGATAGCGTGACGAGCAGACGGTGTACCCTATCCGAAATTACTCTATGAGATAGACCCCCATATCTAAACTCGGTTATTTCCAAAGGACCGACATTTAAAATACTAAAAAACTCAAAACACGCATAATATTTGCAACAGAGAGTAATGCAACAATGGAAAAGAGGTGAATGAGTCCAGGAGTGAGTCCTGTGAACAAAGTTATTAACTGGAAAAAAAGTCCAGTACCCGATTGCAATGGGTAATGATCTGATTTGCAACCAAATTGCGATCAAGTTTCTCAAAGACGGTTGAAGCCGGAGTTCAAAGACATACCTTCTGGCGTACAATCAGTGAAGAGCGGAACTAACATGGGTACATTGTCCACGTGTTCCAGGTGAGGCCTGATATTCTCAACTCCCCTGGGTAACTTTGCCCTATTTGAGAGCTCATAGAGGTCATCGAACATAACACCTTCTGTACCTGCTAGACTACCCATTCCAAAAGACTGTTCTGATGTCCGTGAAATTGCATCATCTTGCAAATGGGTCGCTTGAGATACGATAGATCCTGTTCTACTCAGTTTTCCCCTCTGTTTGCTAAAGCTCTGAGAATTGCTACTGCTGAAACTGTTGATCGAATTACTGAGAAACTGTTGATGATTATGCTGACTGGTATTGTAAGTAGGTTTTAGCAAAGCTACCGAGGCATCATTTTGATCGTGGTTAAACTGTGACTCGCCTCCTGTAAGCGTCGCGTAGCGTCTGACAGGAACTGGTGGTGCATTTTTTCTCGGCGGATTGGATCGCAAAGACGTATTGTGGATTCCGCCACTCTGCTTAAGCTGATGCTGATCAATTGCATCCATTGGACTTTTAGCTCTATTGGATAATAAAGTGTTATTGGATCCATGATGACTAACATTTGTGTTTTGAGCATTTGAGTTATGATGACATTGATTGCAAACTCCGTTCACGCCTCCCTGAGTGTGACTCGAGTGTTGCACGTTGTTTGGGTTGTAACAGCACGGTTGCGTGCATTCCTGCTCCTGTTACCTTTTGCAAATGTTTCACTCCTCCCGACATAGTATTGGACTGTGAGAGTCCCTGGCAGTTGCTTTCAATACTGCTGCATTGACTTTCAATTCCGCCACCAGGAACTACGCGATTATGATTGGCGGTCATTAAAGCGTTCGAGTTGTTCAACGTTGAGCACTGATAACAGTAATCTATTGGCGAGTTTCCGCTTCCACTGAGGTCACAAGAGGGCGTATCAGTTGCCATGCCTCTGGACAATGGATGCTTCTGGTGTGTACTAGCTTGGCAGTTATTGGACATCGTCGATTGGCAGTTATTGGACATGATGATGCGGTGAATTAGAACTGGTATTTGCATGGTTGTAGGCTAATTGGGCAGTGCGCGAATTAGCGACAAAATGGCCACCTTGTAAATTATGTGAGTTGTGCATGCCTCTTGGATTAGGAAGTGGCGAAATGGCGCCTGATGATGTTTCAGACATGGATCCCGGACTCATTGGTTGCAACGAAATAAACTCGTCTTGTTCGATAATCGCAACACGTGTGTCGGTTCCGACTGAAAACGTTGGATGATTCTGCGAAACAACTCCCGGATGTCGATAGCTCATTCCTGAGGTCATGTTACTTCTTCTTGTGAGTGTCGTTTCTGGCTCTCTAATTTTTCCAGCCGTCCAAACATCACGTCTAAACCTGCTTCCCCGTTTTTCAGACTCCTCGGGTCTTCTTTATCGTTGTTTGCCGTTTGGACACTAATCTCGAGATATTTACGAGAAGCCTAAACGAAGTTTCTTAATACGTGAGCTTTCATTAACAACATACAACAAAAAGTATATACCCATTTCAAATTTCGGAAGTTTCCTAATTCTACCAACTATTACAGGACAATTTTAAGTCATGCAGGTACGCTTTGGTGGCACGCTTAGACACTCAGTGCGCTTAACACATATTACGCATCAAATAACAGTTTCAAAATCAGTTGAAAACAACAGTTAGTACAAAAAGTAAACATCTAACTATAAACGCGTCACAGGTACTGAGTTCTCGATTGGTGGAATTGAAATTCAGGCGCTTTAAGATGAGTACTTGTAAAGCCATATGTGCTAGTCGTGACCGCAAGTGCGCCTTCGTCACTCGCCATTGAGCAAATTCCAGATGTTCCGCTGTCTGCCAAACCTCCCGCGACGCCTGGTGTTAGCGGATGATTATTTGCTGAGATATCACAATTATCCGAACGCTTCAAACTATTCGCGCACTTCGGATCCCGACATAAAACGACATTACTGACATCGGGAAATAATCCAGATTTTCTACTCGGGTTGAATTCGGCTCTGTGGGGCTGTCGGCTAGAAGTCCCAAAAGGCACCGTGGAAGAAACAGTGGCAGCATTCTCAGCACAGACGTCCAATTGAGTTGAACAGCATTGACATTGGACTTGGAATGAATTGGCCATTGTTGAATTTCGGCTAAGTGGACGTGCTAAGTGGACGAAGAATTATAATGCGATGAATTTAGGCGTTGTGATTGGTCGAAATTGAGATTCGAATGTTGAATACGAGGAGAGTCGGATGCTTCGGGAAAGTACTGACGAGCTTCCTAAGAGGCAAAGATCTCTGTTCTACAACTACTTTTTGTTATTTGTGCAAAGACAAAGTCTACAATTTCATCGCAGTAACAAAACACAGAAAGCAGCGTAAATAAGTTTAGGCGTAAATAATCGATTATAACGGATTATTATGATGATTTTTTGACAATTATAATTGATTATAATTACCAAAATTAGGTCCTTAAGGGATTTATAATTGATTATAATCGTGATATTTTCCAAGAGATTATAATCTCTTATAATCGATTATAATTGATTATAGTTCTTACTAAAAACCCTTAAAATCAATTATAATCGATTATAATCGATTATAATCTCTTATTTTGCCGGAATTTTCCGATTTTCGAATTGTATCTTATGGGTTATTATTTTTGTGTCAATAAGAAAATCTCTAAAAGAGAGATCTCTTGAACACTTTGGTTCATCTGAACACAAAGTTTTACCACGAAACAAAAGTTTCACAGAGATCCTTTCATATGACTGGAAAGGTTCTCGCGGTAGATGAAAGATAATTTTTCCGAATCAATCATGAAACTAAATCAATTTGCTGATGTTTTGGTGTTTATAAAAGCTTAAAATACGCATCATAAAACAACTCTAATAGGGCTGAAATGGAAAAAAAAACTTATAAAAATGAATTAATTGGAAAATTTTGAAAAATTTTCTCTCATTTTTCATAGGAACCAACGTTCACAAAAAGCATAAAATATAAGCAATTTAGATGCAACTTCGAAGACAAAAATGGACAAACAAAAGGAATTATAATCAATTATAATCGATTATAATGGATTTTTGCGCAAAACTAACGAAATAGAATTTTGAATAAAAATAATGGATTATAATCAATTATAATCGATTATAATTCTATCGAAAAAAAGACGAATAAATAATCGATTATAATGGATTATAATTAATTATAATTTGATTTGAAAAAAAAAGAGATTATAATCGATTATTAATTGATTAAAATCGACTGTTTCTCAATTTTAGCGGGACTGGTACTAAAATTGCAATATAATCGATTATTAACGCTTGAAACTGGATGCGGGCTGGAACGAGGGATTTCGCGACATGCCGTGATGAACTTCTGCATTTGGGAATTGCGAATGATTGTGTGTTACATTCACGTTAAGAGGGTGTTGATGCTGATTATGAGGCTGATGCTGTTGCAAGAAGGGTTTTCGGTCATTAACCTCTGCTTGGTGTTGTTGGCTTGGATACTGTCCGGGATCAAAGTGTTGTGACCTGGTGAGAGATCGTTGGCTGTGATGATGACTCAAGTTTCCTCCATCAATCGCGTCTCGACTTCGATGAGAGCAGACTCGTTCCATAGTCGGTCCTACAGAATGCGAGACCCGGGAAATTCAAAAAGGTTTTCCGCTAACGATCTCTTGTCCAGAACATCATCAATTGAATAAGCAATTAAATAAACGATCGCTGAAATTACCCCATCATAGTCAGCGCGAGATCCATGTCAAGAAAATAGTGCAAGATCTACAAAAAAAGTGATTTACCGTTTTCAATATTTTAATAGATTTCTATACCACATCGCAAGCAGTTCTATTTGAAGACCAAAAAGCTTCAAAATCCTAGTTATGTTTTTTTTCTGATAAACATCACATTTGTCGAGGATTCAACTGAGTTTTAGTCGAGCGATGAAAACAAAACTCTGCAATTTGTTCAATTCGAGTAGTTTTCTGGTCAATTAGTGCATAATTTGCGGAAAACTTTGCCTCAGTTAAATTTCTTGGTTACAAAAATGGGCTATAAATACATAAATTTTATTTTCGATCGATGAGGGTTTTGTAGAAGAAAAAAAGCAGCTATTTTCGATCGGTGAGGGTTTTGTACTAGAAAGACAACAGCTATTAGTTACTCCGAGAAATTTTGCAAACAAGTCCAGACTTATAGGGTCGTTAAGTCAACAAGTTTCGAGGTGCAATATAAACTGTTACTCATCCGATATGAAACCCATGTAAAATACACGAACAAGTTTGTGAAAAATATTCATGCTATACTGATTTTCAGAGTTAATTCATTTTGTTTGACTGTCAGCGAAAAGATAATGCACTATTGTTTCAAATATTGCACAGTGTTTGACATTTTGCTTGCGATTCACTTATTGCACTAGGTTTTCACAAAAACATACTGCGTACAAGTGTTTCATCTCAAATTTGGGTTAAAATTAGTTTCTACCGTTTGCGTTGAGCAAAATATAATGCATAAACCAAAAGATAATATATATTCAAAAAATGCACATCAGCATATACCTTTGACAAATTGTAGAAACGTCAAAAAGAGGCCCAGACCTGTTTTTTGTTTCTTAGTAATCAGCAAAGACAAACCAAAACAAAATTATCGAATGTGTTTTGTGCACGAGCAATGCATGGCTCGAGTTCGCTCATGGAAACCCTTTATTGCTTTCTTTATTTTGACAACAGTTACAGGATGCTCACTCATAGGTAATTTTGTCAGTTTTTTTTTATCATTTTACGTGCTCACTTTAGTGTATTGAAAAACTAAGCTGGGGAAAAAATAAAAGAAGACAAAATTAAACGCGAACTTTTGTTTGTACACTCAAGAATTTTCAATTTTAAAGGCGAATTTGGGAAAAATTCAGTTTGGTTTTGGAAAAATTTTTAATTTGACCGACAGTAAATGGTCATAACTACTATACCTTAAATTCTCAATTTATGATTTTTATCAGTTAGCAGTTTACTCCGGGTCTAAAACGGCCAGTTTTCACCACTTGTAAAAAAAAATTCTCAACGGTTTGAAAAAATAGAAGCAACGGTCATGAGTAAAACTGTCGCGCACTTTTTGGTATTTTCTCATTTAGATTGTTGTACCAAATTTCACATCACGCGATCAATTTCGGCCTATTTAAAACAATGTCCACTCCTATAGAATTGCTTTTACCAATTGGCTTTTCAGACCCAAAAATTACTGGTACAATTTTCTAGTCAAAAAGGGAGAGCTTAGGAGAGGGTGGCTTAGATCAATTTCTGTCGCCCGATGTGAAATTTTGGTTAAAACGAACTAAATTTTTCGACTATATTTTTTTTAAATCAGGGGAGGATTAAGGGAAAAAGCGGTGGCTGACGCCCTTCAATTATCTTTTAGGGATTCGACCTCCTGACCAATCAAACCATCTCTTCTAAACAATTATTTATTGACACGCACTTTCGACCAAACAACCCTGAAGTTTTTCTAAAGACGATTTCGGTGT